AGCTGCGTTTCAGTCACTGCTAACCAAACCTCACAAAGAGAAACCTGCACAGTGGCTGTAGAAACATAAGAATAGTTTTATTCACTTACGAATGCTGCAGTACAATGGATGGTCCAGATAAATGGATTTCTGATAGTTGATGAATGGCCAGCCTATTCCAATGAGACTGCAACATCAGCAAGGAGGCGGTGGGTGATGATTTGGGTTGGAATATTGGGAAGTGAGCTGTAAGGTCATTTTAGGGTGTCAAAATGACATCTGCAAGATATGTGGAGTTCATAACTGACCATTTTCTGCTGTGGTATAAAATGAAGAATAGTGCTCTCGGAAATAAAAGGATTTTCATGCAGGAACACTATCCCATGCTGCATAAATACCATGGTGCTAAACAGTTTGAACATGTGTTTCTACAGCCACTGTGCAGGTTTCTCTTTGTGAGGTTTGGTTAGCAGTGACTGAAACGCAGCTTTACACACAACTGTCAGTCTGCATGGAGAGGATCTTGAGACTCCAGTAGCTTCAAACACCTGTTTGCTGCTCAGCAGTGGCTTTTTTTATCGCTGGCATTACAATACAGTTCATTTGTTTGAAAAAAAGCTTTCCTTAATAAATCTTTATCTGACCAAGATCTTCTGACCAAGAAGTCACTCACAAGCTCTAGTACTGATATTTAGTACATCTTTCAATATTTAAAGGTGCACCAACCATGGATCTCCAGACCCAAGACATTGTAATTGTTGAGGGTGAGAAGATGGACATAAAAATCCCATACAGAGCAATACCAAAACCATCAATGGTCTGGAAAAAGGGTGACACTGAATTAAAGACTGAAGACAGACTGACGTTGACATGTGAACTCAATCGCGTTCACCTGGAGTTTCTCAAGTGTAAACACGAAGATGCTGGCGTGTACACTGTTACTCTTGAGAACAGTCTGGGTTCAGTAACTGGCACAATCACCGTAAAAGGAAGAAGATCTGGCAAACTATTGAACAAACCTGTCTGAGATTGATACTATCTAAAAAGTTATCTAAAAAGATGTGAAAAACAACACAAACAAAAATCTGACTCTTGATTGTACTGAAATATTATTGATATGTCATGTAATTGTTGAGGGTGAGAAGATGGACATAAAAATCCCATACAGAGCAATACCAAAACCATCAATGGTCTGGAAAAAGGGTGACACTGAATTAAAGACTGAAGACAGACTGACATTGACATGTGAACTCAATCGCGTTCACCTGGAGTTTCTCAAGTGTAAACACGAAGATGCTGGCGTGTACACTGTTACTCTTGAGAACAGTCTGGGTTCAATAACTGGCACAATCAACATAAAAGTGATCGGTAAGAAACTGTATAGTTATATTGATTCCATTTGTCACACTTATAAAGCCTACTGCTCAAAAATACCTCAATGCCTCATATTTTCCATTAAAAGGCCTGCCTGGACAATGTAAGGACATCTCTTCCAGTGAGGTCACCAAGAACTCTTGCAAGATCTCTTGGGAGCCTCCAGAAAGTGATGGTGGTAGCCCAATCTTGCACTATGTTCTAGAGCGCAGGGAAGCTCAGAAGAAGACATTTTTGCCTGTGATGTCTGGAGACAATGTTTTAAGTTTTGTGGTCAAAGATCTTATGCTCAATGGTGAATATTACTTTAGAGTGAAGGCTGTTAACAAGATTGGTAGTGGCGAGTTTCTTGAACTCCGTAATCCTGTCATAACAGAAGAACAAAAACGTGAGTATAATTCATTTCTTAATTATTATTTTATTTTATATATATTTTTATTTTCTATTATTATTATTAATTCATTAATTACAGAACGCCCAGACCCACCAATTGAGGTTGAAGGACACAATCCCACCTCAAATTCGATCACTGTTACTTGGATGGCACCACCATATGATGGTGGATGCCCAATCACAGGGTACATTCTTGAGAAAATTGAAAAAGATGGTGACAGATTTGAAAGATGCGTTCCAAATCTGGTACCTGGTTTCTCCTACACTGTCACTGGCTTGACGGAAGGAAAGGAATACCAGTTCCGTGTCCGTGCAGAGAACATTGCAGGAGCAAGTGACCCATCTCGCAGTACACCATTGATTAAGGCTGCTGATCCTGTTGGTATGTTAAAAAACAAAATCTATTACAGTTTCATTTCAAATATGCAAACTTTTCGAACTCTTCTGTGTCAAGTAAAACATTACATATTACTGTTTTTTTTTTTTTATTCTACTTTTTTTCTAATTTAGAACCACCAAAGGTATCACTCCATGTCCGTATTGCATCTGGCCTCAGTATCAAAAAGGGCGAAGAGTTCAGATTGGATGCTTACATATCTGGATCTCCCTACCCAACTGTTACATGGCTCAGAAATGATGAGAATGTGAGGCAGCCGCCAGCTAAGAAGAAATCAGAAATTGTGAAAAAGAAGAAAAAGAAGTCTGTTCAGCCTGAACCTGAAGAAGAATTCCATCCACCACTTTTAGATCGCTTGTCATTCGACCAGACCAAAAGGGGTGAAACTGCTCTGATGGTGCGTGATGCCATCAGAACAGACCATGGAATGTTCACTATTAGAGTTGAAAATCCCCATGGTGTTGCAAGAGCATCGTGTGAAGTTAATGTTCTTGGTGAGTTACTTTTGGAACTACAATGAGTATCTTCCCAAGCATTTATTTAATGAAAAAATGTATTAACATTTCTGCTTGTTGTAACTTACAGATAAGCCTGGCCCCCCTGCTAACTTTGGATTTGATGAGATCAGAAACACCTCTGTTGTTTGCATGTGGGATGCACCTCTTGATGATGGTGGCAGTGACATCATCAACTACATACTGGAAAAGAAAGACAACACTACTGATGAGATTGGTTGGGTAACTGTGACCTCGACCCACAAGGGATACAATTACCCTGTAACCAAGCTTATTGAAGGAAAGGAGTACATCTTCAGAGTCACAGCTGAAAACAAGTTTGGCTGTGGACATCCATGCTACTCTGAACCACTTATTGCAAAGAATCAATTTGGTAGAATTATATTTTTACTATATTTATACTATATTTTACTTTGAACGGTAGTTGTCTTATATTATGGTTTATTTGAAATTATTTGAAAATATTGTTTTTCAGAACCACCTGATGCTCCCAACATGCCAAGAATTGGAGAAGTCACTTCCAGCACAGTTGCTCTCAGCTGGCATGAGCCAAAGGACAATGGTAGCCCTATCTTGGGCTATTGGGTTGAGAGACGTGAAGTCAACAGCAAATATTGGACCAGAGTGAACAACAATCTTCTTAATTCACTGTCAGTTAAGGCTGAGGGTCTTATGGAAGGCCTTGTTTACGTCTTCAGGGTCTGTGCTGAAAATCTTGCTGGCCCGGGAGAATTCAGTCCACCAACTGACCCTCAGACTGCAATGGATGCAATCTGTAAGTGTGAAAATTGAAAACTAAACATTAAAAATATGCCTTTAAATTGGTTTAAATGTTTTTTTTAATCAGTATAAAACTTATGGTAACACTTTAGTTTATTGAAGCAAATGTTGTAGTTAATAGTTAGTTAATAGTGAGAAATGGTCCCCAAACTAAAGTGTGACCAAACTAGATTTATACTAACTAGATCCAAACCATTTTATAATTTGATTAAATGTAACAATATTTTTGCAGTGCCTCCAGGCCCTCCTGTACCAAAAATTGTTGATGTCACAAATACAACTATCGATATCAGTTGGGTACCTCCATTGTACAATGGCGGTGGAGAAATTCTTGGATATCATGTTGAGCGCTGTCTGGTTGGAGAGAAGGACTGGGTCCGCTGTACTGAGTTTAGATGCAAAGACCGCAAATACACAGTGACTGGACTGACTGAGGGAGCTGACTATTACCTTCGTGTATACGCTGTAAATGAAGCAGGTCATGGAGCACCAGGCATGACTGAACCTGTTCAGGCCAAAGAGCCAGAAGGTATGTTAAAAAACTTGTTGCACTTTCTCCTTTCTACAAACAGTGAGTGCAACAGAGGACCTAACACTCTTTAAACAATGAGCCCCGATTTAGATATGTCTCAGCATTGCTTTGCGCCTATTAGATAAATTATGATCAAATTTTAAATCTGTACTTGAATTTACAGAGGCCCCAGGGGTTGAGTTTGATGTCACTGTAAAGAATGGAGTCATCATTAGAGCTGGAGAAACATTGCGTCTCCCTGCTGTTGTTACTGGACGCCCTGTACCAGAAGTTAAGTGGACAAAAGATGATGCAGAGCCAGACAAGGAACACACAGTTATTGAGACAGAAGGAAAAAACAGCAGTTTAACCATCAAAAATGCTTTGAGAACTGACCATGGCATATACCAGATCACAGGTACCAACCCCAGCGGAACAAAGTCTGCCTCCGTTAAGGTGGATGTGATGGGTAAGTCAAATTATTTTCTTTAACGATTTTTTTTTTGCTATTAAAACCTGAAATTTAACCCCTCATTGGGATGTTTTCTTGTTCTTTTTTGTACAAAAGATGTCCCCGGACCAGTGGTTGATCTTAAGACAGTTCATGTGACCAAGAAAATGATTTCATTCACCTGGTCAGATCCTCTGGATAATGGTGGAAGTGACATCATGGGCTATGTTGTTGAAAGAAAAGATGCGAAAATGCACATTTACAGACAACCCTTAGAAGTTGCTGCTTGCAAATGTGACATTGTTGGTCTTCTTGATGGAGAAGAATATATGTTCCGTGTAGTCGCAAGGAACAAGTATGGGCTTGGTGCTCCTGTTGAACTTGGACCTGTTTTAGCAGTGGATCCTAAAGGTAAATAAAACTGAATAATACATTCATGAGAACAATTAATTTGATCTCATATATGAAAATATATTTGAATTATGTTCAGTTTATAATCTGCATTACTTGTTTTCATACAAAAGCAATAAACAATGTTGACTTTATTGAAATTTTAGGAGTTCCATCTGCCCCAGAGAAATTGCACTATAAGGAAAGGACCAAGAGCACTATTACTTTGACTTGGGAACCTCCTCGTAGCGATGGTGGTTCTCCAATCAGAGGCTACTGTGTTGAAAAGATGAGACAAGACAGCAATGAATATGATGTTGCCAATCGCCAACTCTGCAAAGACCTCACCATCACTCTGGAAAATCTGTCTGAGAATACGATGTATGACTTCAGAGTCAAAGCTGTCAATGAGGTTGGCGATGGAGAACCATCCAAACCAATCAGTGTCAATATTCAGGATGATGAACGTATGTATCACTCCATATAACGTAAATCACTGACAACTTTTTAACAAATTTAGTTTTAGTTTTTAATTAAATTGATGCCTTACTATTTCCATTTATATTTTTCCTCTATTTTAGTGATACCAACTGTTAAGTGGTTGAAATTCTTTAAGAGTGATGCTATTATTGTCAAGAAGGGAGCAGCTATTGAAATTCCTGCTGAAATTGTTGGCCTACCCTTGCCTACATTTGAGTGGACAAAGAATGGAGTAGTTATCGACCAACCTACTGAGACAATGACACTGGAATCAGAGGAGATTAACAGGCAAACTATCAATACCAAAATTGGTATTCCTGAAACTGTACGAAAAGACACAGGCATTTACAAGTTAACTGCCACAAATACCCGTGGAGTAGGTCAACGCACAATCCGAGTGGATATATTGGGTAAGACTTTAAATCATATTCAGTATTTGATTTTACTTAAGCTTTTAGAATTTTCACCAAATGGGAAGTAGTATTGGGTGTTACAAGTTAAACAGTGCTTTTTCTTGTAATTAAATTATGTCGGACGCAACTCTTTATTTTCAGCAATACTGCTACAAGATTACGTTTAAGATGCATTGAGGGGATGTTCTAACTGTGGTGTTGTTGTTTCCCTAGATCGCCCATTGCCACCAAGAAACATTGTGGTGTCTGACATCAAAGCTGAGTCCTGCTACCTTACCTGGGATGCTCCAGAGGACAATGGTGGAAGCGACCTCACTAACTACATCATTGAGAAGAGGGATGCCAGCAAAAAGAAGTCTGACTGGGAACAGTTGACATGCTGCGTCATAGACAGACGTTATGGGGTTAATATATATTATTAATACATATTACTATGAGGCAGTTTTTTTTAGAATGAGACTGATATGTGCTTTTAGGGTGCTTTCACACTTGGTTCGATTGCTTGGTCCAAACCCGAGTTCTCTGACGTCAATCGAACCCGGGTGTGCACCAAAAGTGCTAGTGTGAAAGCACCCTTAAATGCTCTAAATGAGTTTTAATCCCCTTCTGCAGGTGTACAAGTTGGAGGCATATGGTACCTACCAGTTCCAGATCAAAGCTGAGAACAAGTACGGGGTCAGTGATGGTTGTGAATCAGAAAAGGTTGTACTCAAAGATCCATTTGGTCTTCCTGGGCCACCCCAGAGGCCAAGGATTATTAGTCACTCTCGCTCATCCATGTTGGTCACTTGGGATCCTCCAAAAGACAATGGTGGCTCAACCATTCAAGGCTACTGGCTTGAAAAGAGAGAGAGAGGAGCTGTGTACTGGAGTCGTGTTAACAGGGCTCCAGTAACAAAACCAGCAGTCAGGGGCCTGGAATACAATGTGCTCCACCTTATTGAGGGTTCCGAGTACCAGTTCCGTGTGATGGCTCAGAATGCAGCTGGCGTTGGACCTCCAAGTGAAGCAACAGAATGTGTGTTTGCGCTTGATCCAAGAAGTAAGTAATATTTCTTACGTTGATAGGTTTATGAATTCCAGTTTCTAATGAACAAAACTTTGCATTCTTAAATGTTAATTGTAGAACCACCAAGTCAACCACCAGCACCTGAAGTAACAGACAAAACCACAAGCAGTGTGAGTCTTTCCTGGACCCCACCAGAAAAAGATGGAGGAAGTCCAATAAAGGGTTACATTGTTGAAGTTCAGGATGAAGGTTCACTTGAGTGGAGAAGGATCAATACACCAGATAAGCTGATCCTAACCAATTCATACACTGTGTCAGGGCTTAAAGAGAATAAGAAATGCAGGTTCAGAATTGTTGCTGTCAATGCTGCTGGTGAATCTGAGCCAAGTCCCAGAACTGGCGATACCATTGTGCAAGATATTCTGGGTAAGCCTTATTTTGTGTAGATGTGTTGCAATAATATAGAGTAATAGTTAATACATACATGTAGAAAGGTATCTATGATTAAAGATATATGTTACTCGACATGTACACAGAGGAACCTGTCATTACCATGGAGGTCACAGCTCATGAGCTTCTCAATTGTCGTGCTGGAACAACCATCAATATTCCAGCCACCATCTCTGGCAAACCTATTCCGAATGTTACATGGGACTTTGATGGAACTGCCCCAACAGAGAAAAAGAATGAGCGTCACACTTTGCCAGAGGATTCAGAAGTAGGATTTTTTTTTCTTCCCCAAAACACTCGGTTTGTTAAGTCCCAACAAACTTGCATTATTCAAATAATACATTTTACATTTAAACTTTGCAGATATCATCCAGTGATACAACATCAGTAGTGACAATCCCTGAATGTAAATTAAACCACTCTGGGCGATACATCATCACTGCCAACAACCAGGCTGGCACCAAAATCGTTAAAGTGCGAGTGAATGTACTTGGTAAGCAACACTATATTTAAAATACAAAACATCACAACATGAAGCAGTAGTAGCTTCATTAAAATATAAGGTTAGAAGTATGTATTACCGTATTGGCCCGAATATAAGACGACCACGTTTTTTCAGATGTATTTCCAAGAAAAAAATATCGTCTTATATTCGGGACAATACGGTATATCACATAATATCATATCTCATTATATCATGTCTCTTTTGTCTAGATTTGCCTGGATCTCCTAAAGATCTCAAAATCAGTGACATCACACGTGGAACATGTAGACTAAGCTGGAAGCCACCAGACTGTGATGGAGGTGACAGAATCAAGAGCTACTTTGTTGAGAAAAAGACTGTTGAAGGAAAGGCTTGGACAAAGGTCAACCCAGCTTGCGCAACACAGTCCTTAGTTGTGCCAGACCTCATTGAAGGACAAGAATACTTGTTTCGTGTAAGAGCTGAGAATCGCTTTGGTTTGGGACCTCATATCACAACCATTCAGCGGACTAAAGCCAGAGATCCTATTCGTAAGTATATTTTGTAAACAAGTCTGACATTAAAAATGTTTAAATACAGTTTATCCTGATTATTCAAAACACAAAATTTTTGCAGATCCTCCTGATCCTCCCACAAGAGTCAAAATCGTTGATGTGTCCAAGGGCATTGTGACTCTGACATGGAAGCCACCAAAGAATGATGGTGGTGCACCTGTAACTCACTACAATGTTGAGCGTCTATGGTGGGATAGCAGTGGAAACCAGCAAGAGTCCTGGAGACAGTGTAACCGCCGTGATATTGATACCACCACCTTCAAAGTGGAGGATCTCCACCAGGGTGCTGAATATGAATTCCGTGTTAAGGCTGTGAATGAGGTTGGTGCCAGTAGACCATCCTCTACAGCAGGACCCATCATTATTAAGGACCAGAACAGTGCGTACAAAGCAAAACACAATAAAGGAATTCAATGAATTAGGGTTGCATGGTGTACAAATTCATCTTTCTTCCATTTCACTTTTAGGGACACCTTCTATTGAGCTTCCAGAATTCATGGAGGTTGAACAGGGTTCAGATATTCATATTGTTGCTAAGATTAACGGTTGTCCATTTCCAACACTCACATGGCAGAAGGCTCCTCCTCACAAAAGTGAAAACAAGGTTGATGTTGAGTATGATGAGCACATCAACAAACTTGTTTCTGATGATAGCTGCACACTGCTGATCCAGCAGGGCAAACGCTCAGATACTGGCCTCTACACTCTTACTGCCAGCAACAGCCTTGGCACCGTTTCCAAGGAAATGAGGCTTAATGTTCTAGGTAAATTTCAACAACACATTTTTTCATATGAAGAGATGTAGGTGTTGTTGTTAGAAGTAACATAATTCTTCTTTTAAACAGGGCGTCCTGGGGCTCCATCTGCACCCATCAAATTTGAGGAAATTTGTGCTGAACAGATAACGCTATCATGGCTGCCTCCTAAGGATGATGGTGGCTCCAAAATTACAAACTACACTATTGAGAGACGTGTTGTCAACAGGAAGACTTGGATACCTGTCACTAGTGAACCCAAAGAGAGAATATTCACGGTCGACAATCTAATGCCAGGCCATGAGTACATTTTCAGGATTAGGGCTCAAAACAAATATGGCGTTGGTGAGCCTCTTGATAGTGAACCTGAAGTAGCCAGAGATGTGTTCAGTAAGTATTCATTCACATATTTAAAGGGGTCATATGATGTTGTTAAAAAGAACATTATTTTGGCTAGAGTAAGCAGTGGCGGGCGGGCTTGAGTACGGCGCGGCCGGCGGGCTTGCGGCAACCACATGTGACGACCCCGGGCTGGACTCCGCTTCGTCCATGGTGAAAGCCGATCCACAGCGCGAAGTTGATGTATTTCCTCAGCGACCAGCACGGATCAGCTCCAGGCATGATGAAGCGGATATCGTCCTCTTTTGGAAGGCCAAACAAAGTAGTTTCGTTTTCACAACGAAACACACAGCGCCTTCACGACATGGCGGCAACAACAATACTACAGCGAGAATCAAAGTTACGCCTTCTTTCTTTGTGTGAACATTTGGGCGGCGTTATGCAAATCTTCCCACATCGTGACGTAGACATGTGGGGGGGTTGTTAGAACAAGCCGTTTTAGGTAAGCGTGGTTGACTTAACTTTTATAAAGAATATCTCTTTGGATTTGAGACTTTAGTCTTTGCAACTTTACAGATCTTCTTTATGCACCAAGAGCTTGTAACACTTCAAAGAGAAAGAAATAATTGAAATCACATCATATGACCCCTTTAAAGTTTATCTAATTAGAGACATGTTGTATGTTTAGATTAGATTTATTTCACTTTATAACACTGATGTTATTTTATGTCTATTTTTTAGTGCCACCTGGCCAGTGTGACAAGCCAACACTTTCCAGCATCACAATAGACTCCATGACTGTGAATTGGGAAGAGCCAGACTCAGATGGAGGCACTCCAATTACAGGCTACTGGCTTGAGCGTAAAGAAACCACATCTAAACGCTGGAACAGAGTAACCCGTGATCCAGTCAGGCCCATGCCACTTGGTATATCACACAGAGTCATGGGGCTCATTGATGGATCTCAGTATTTGTTCCGCGTGATAGCAATAAATGCAGCAGGATGTGGACCTCCAAGTGAGCCATCTGATCCAACATTTGCTAGAGATCCAATAGGTAGGAAACAATACAGTGTGAGATTCAATTTCATATAATTTTTTATTAATAGAGACTCAAACTATGACAAATCCATTTTCTTGTAGCATCTCCTTTGCCACCAACCCCGAAAGTCACGGACTGGACTAAGACTACAGCAGACTTGGAATGGATTCCACCGTTGAAGGATGGAGGTTCAAAGATAATGGGCTACCATGTTGAATACAAAGAGGAGGGCACAGAAGCATGGGTCAAGGTTTGTTTAAGATTTATGTATACACAAATTTATCTATACCCAAATATTTTAATTTCAGCAAAACATTCTTTATACATTAAAAAAAAAAAATCTTCCTTCTGTTGCAGGCCAAAGACAAGGAAGTTAGAGGAACTAAATTTGTGGTCACTGGACTAAAAGAGAATGCATTTTATAAGTTTAGAGTTTTGGCATTCAATGCTGCAGGTCTGAGTGAACCAGGTGAAGTTGCTGATGCTCTTGAAATGAAGGACCGGATAAGTAAGTCTCAGTGATTCAACATTCTCCAAATTAAGTGTTATTTTATTGCTTGTGGGGTGGGGGGGGGACAAAAAAAACAAAACAAGGATTTATATGCAATATGAATTTAATGAATTTTTTTTTGCCATTTCAGTTTTGCCAGTCCTTGAGCTGGACATTTCAATAAAGGAGAAGATGGTTATTCATGCAGGAGGTGTTATTCGTATCATCGCGTATGTGTCAGGCCAACCTTCACCTGTGATAACATGGAGCAGAGATGGGTATCCAGTCCCATCAGAAGCTGTTATTGAAACCACATCAATCAGCTGCTCCATGGTAATTAAAGATTGCACTAGGGCACAACGAGGTGTTTATACAATAACAGCCAAGAATGAGGGAGGAGAAGTGAAGAAGTCTGTTATTGTTGATGTTCTTGGTAAGTGAGAATTATCAGGCACAAATAATATACACATTACTGTGAAATAGCTACATTAGGGAAAGTACAGTTTCTTATCGTATTTTGTTACTTCAGATATCCCTGGTCCAGTGGGGGCACCATTTACAGCAGAAAACCTTACAAGTGATTCATGCAAACTGAACTGGTTTTTCCCTGATGATGATGGTGGATCTGCCATCTCCAATTACATAATTGAGAAACGTGAAGCTGATCGAAAGGCTTGGACATCTTGCTCCTATTCAGCTGGCAGACAAAATGCTATAGTAAATAATCTGGTGCTTAAAAAGGAATATTTTTTCAGAGTTGCAGCTGAAAATGCAATTGGAGTAGGTCCTTTCTGCCAAACAGCATGTGAAATTGTGATTAAAGATCGTATTAGTAAGTATTTTTCTTTGTTTTTCTTTTTTTCCTGCTTTAAAAATAGCTTGAAACTATATTAAATGCAACTGTAAAATAAAATTCTGTATTGATGGTAGCTAATCATCATTTGACCTCTTTTTGACTAGATGTTCCAGACCGTCCAGAAGATCTTGAGGTGACTGCCATCACCAGAGACTATATCAGTGTGACTTGGAAGCCACCTAAGTATGATGGAGGGTCTGAAGTGATATCCTACATTCTTGAGGCTCGCATGATTGGCAAAGACAAGTTTGTCAGACTGACCAAAGAGACACTGATGGATAGGAAATACACTTACGATGGTCTTCGTGAAGGCGACACATATGAATTCCGTGTCAGTGCAGTGAATGAAGTTGGTCCAGGCAAACCATCCTTCTCCACTAAGCCAATTACATGTAAAGATGAACTTGGTGAGTGTTTTTTTAGCTCTTCAACTGTTCTTCATTTGGTACACCACATTACACTAACTATTATTATCTAAGTGTTAATGTGATTTTTTTTTCTTTTTCCCATTTTAGAGCCCCCTACAATTGAGCTGGACTTCCGTGATAAGGCTGTTGTTCGTGTTGGTGAAAGCTTTGCACTCCAGGGACGGTATACTGGAAAACCAACACCATCTGTCACCTGGTCAATAGATGACAAAGAACTAAAAGCAGATGACCACATCAAGTTCAAAAACACTACTACCACAATGTGCCTGGGTATTATTAAAGCTCAGCGTGGACACAGTGGAAAATACTGTGTGACAGTTGAAAACTGTACTGGTGCTCGTAAAGGCATTTGTAATGTCACAGTTGCAGGTAAGTCTCATGAAACAAGACTAAAGTTTACCAAATATAAATTGATATATGAATATAAATACATATTTTGGACCCATCTTATATATGTATATTTTGTGTACTTTTAGATCGACCATTGCCTCCAGAGGGCCCAGTTGTATTTGAGGAAGTTCACAGAGATCATATGGTTATTTCCTGGAAGCCCCCTCTTGATGATGGTGGATGTGAAATTTCTAACTACATCATTGAGAAGAGAGATGTAAACAGGGACATGTGGACAACTGTAACATCTGCCACCACAAAAACCCACTGCAAAGTACCTAAACTTGTAGAGGGTCGTGAATACATCATGAGAATTAGTGCTGAGAACATGTATGGCATAAGTGACCCACTGGAATCAGAGGAGATGAAAGCTAAAGATCTATTCAGTATGTAAAAACACACAAAAAATATTGTCCATTTAAAGCTGTAAAAATTGTATGTTTTGTTCCTGATATCCTTCACCTTATTACAGGGGTACCTGAGGCACCTGAGCCACCCATTGTAAAAGACGTCTTCCATGATTCAGCACTGGTAATTTGGAACCGTCCTCGTGATGGTGGGAAGCCCATCACAAACTATATATTGGAGAGGAAGGAGCCCTCAGCTAAGAGATGGGCTCGTGCAACCAGAGATCCAATCTACCCTGCTACACAGTACAGGGTACAAGACCTCGTTGAAGGCTGTGAATATGAATTCCGTGTAATGGCAGAGAATGAAATTGGCACTGGAGATCCTAGCCTTCCCAGTAAACCTATTCTGGCTAAGGATCCCATTGGTAAGCTTTAATGATTTGATGGTTTCTTTTTCTTAATGCATATCAAGAAATAGTACATTTGATAATTCTTTATTCACTTATTCTTTAATAGTTAAGCCAAGCCCCCCTGTTTTGCCTGAAGCTGTTGACAAGACTAAAGATTCTGTAAGTCTGTCATGGCGTGTTCCTCGCCATGATGGTAAAGGAAAAATATTTGGTTACTTGATTGAGTATCAGAAGCCCGGTGCAATCGAATGGATCCAGGCAAATGAAACTCCTGAATCATGCCCAGACACCAAGTTTGTTGTGACAAATCTATCAGAAGGTGGAGAGTTTCTATTCAGAATTATGGCTGTGAATGCAGCTGGAAAATCTGAGCCTGCTTATGTCAAGGAACCAGTGAAGGTTCATGACAGACTTGGTAATTTCTTCCTTTTTCTTTACATATTTAGAAAACAGTAGTGTTGAAAGGTAGCTGTTGTTTTATAATTAAACTTATTTAACTGAAGGTATGTTATTTACATATTGGAAGGTGAAATAATATTAGTAATTAATATCCTTCTAATCTCAATTCTCATGCAGAGGAGCCAGAGTTGCTGTTAGATGCCAATATGGCACGTGACCACCTTGCCATGGTTGGGACAGACATCACACTTAGTGCCAAATTTAAGGGCATGCCAATTCCCACTGTCTCTTGGAAAAAGAATGATGGTGAAGTTCCTGCTCATTGTCTTATTGAGGTCACAGCAAGTGGAAGCAAACTTCACATTAAGAAGTGTACCCGTGCTGACTGTGGCAATTATACCATCACTGTTCAAAATGCAGCTGGAACGAAATCTGCTACATGCACTGTTCTTGCTCTTGGTATGAATGTTTTAAGAACAACACTTAACAGTAAACACATTGTCTATAATCAACTAGTTATCTATATAAATAAATATATTTATTTTTTATTTAGATAAACCTGGACCACCAAGGAATTTTAAAATCTCTGAAGTCACAAGTGAGTCAGCTTACCTGACATGGCAAAATCCAGAGGATGATGGTGGTGCCGTAATCTCCCACTATGTTGTGCAAAAGAAAGATGTAGCAGCTGAGAACTGGGTTCCAGTTTGTGCTGCATCTAAAAAGCTTAGCCTTATGGCTCAATATCTGATGGAGGGAATTCAGTATCTCTTCAGAGTTGCAGCTGAGAATCAATTTGGCAGGAGTGCATTTGTTGAAACCACCAAGCCCATCAAGGCAGTTGATCCACTTTGTAAGTATTAAATATAATGTTACTTTTAAAAGCTTAACTATTTTATACCAGTTTGTTAAATTAATTTGTATATTTTTACCTAAAGATCCTCCTGGTCCACCCAAGAATCTGCATCATGTGAATGCAGACAAAACTGAAGTATGGCTTCAATGGGAGTGGCCTGATCGCACAGGTGGAAGTGAGATCACCGGATTCATTGTTGAGCATCAAGAAGAAGGTTCCACTGACTGGGTGACCTTCAAGACTGTCAGCAATCCTCAGTGCCATGTTACTGGACTTGTGGAGGGCAAAACATACAGATTCCGTGTAAAATCACAAAATGCAATTGGCATTAGCCGACCAGACACCAGTGTGCCAATTACTTGCCAGGAAAAAACCTGTAAGGCTTACACATTATATTATATTATATTATTATATAAAAAATGACTGGCAACATATTACATTTTATTATGCTCAGTGTTAATTAAAATATTCTTTTTCAGTGGCTCCAACTATTGAAGTTGATGTGAAGCTTATTGAGGGTCTTGTTGTGAAAGCTGGCAGTACAATCGTCCTCCCAGCGGTCATGCAAGGAATTCCAACTCCAACAGCCAAGTGGCAAAGTGAAGGAAATGAGCTTAAAACTGAGGGCAAATTTAAGATCGTTACTGAAGGAAATTCAACTGTCTTGACTATTAGTGAATGTGTCAGAACTGACAGCGGAGAGTATGGTCTTACTGTGGCAAACCCTACTGGAAGCAAGTCTGTTGCTCTACATGTTACAGTCCTTGATGTTCCATCTGCTCCAGTTGGTCCCGTAAATATCCTTGAGGTTACCCCTGATCATATGATAATCCAGTGGCGTGCACCAAAAGATGATGGTGGCACACCTATGATGAACTATATTGTAGAGAAGAAGGATGTCAAGAAGCCTTGGGAGCCGTGGTCAGTTGTGAGTTCTGGAAGCACAAGCACAAAGGCCAAAGTCCCACGTTTGGAGAAGGGACGTGAATATATTGTACGTGTACGTGCTGAGAATAAAATTGGCATCGGTGCTGGCCTTGAAAGTCCTCCCACTATTGCCAAGCATATGTTTGATCCACCAGGTCCTCCTGGCCAACCAACATGTTCTGACATAACAGAAAATGCTGTAACAGTGTCATGGACTGAACCAGAAACTGATGGTGGAAGCCCTGTGAGTGGTTACATTGTTGAGCGCAGGGAGATGACTGGTAAATGGATTCGTGTCAATAAAACACCAGTCTTGGATGTAAGATACAGGGTATGTGGTTTGTTTGAGGGCAATAGCTATGAATTCAGAATATTTGCTGAAAATGTTGCTGGTGTAAGTGAGCCTTCATATCCATCAGACCCAATGAAAGCTAAACGTCCAATTACTCCTCCGGGGCCTCCAAGTAACATTAAGCTGAAGGACTGGAGCAAGTCATATGCAGATTTGGTATGGACCAAGCCTTCCAGAGATGGTGGCAGCCCCATCCTAGGCTATGTTATTGAATGCCAGAAATCAGGTTCTGCACAGTGGGATAAAATAAACAAGGATCTAATCAAGTTTTGTGCATTTAGAGTGCCTGGACTTAGTGAAGGCACAGAGTACAGATTTCGTATTAGAGCCTCAAACAAGGTTAGAGATGGTGAGCCAAGAGAACTCACAGAAACTGTGCTTGCCAAAGACATTCTTGTTCCCCCTGATGTAACTGTTGATGTTGTTTGCCGTGACCTCCTAACAGTTAGAGCAGGGCAAATCCTCAACCTTGTAACCCGTGTTAAGGGTAGACCTGACCCTGAAATCACTTGGACTAAAGATGCAAGAGTTTTAGGGAGAGATAAACGCACTGAGATGAACAATAACTTCCCTCTTGTTGAGCTGGTAATTCAGGAAGCTGTTAGAGCTGATTATGGAAAATATGCAATTCAAGCAAAGAATAGCAGTGGTCAAGCACAAGCTACAATTATTGTCAATGTACTTGATATTCCAGGAGCCTGTCAGAATTTGAAGGTTGCTTATGTGACTAAAGACTATTGTATGGTTTCTTGGGAAAATCCAGAGGATAACGGTGGCACTGAAATTACTAATTATATAATTGAGTGCAGACAACCAAGTCAAAGAGGATGGACAGTTGTTTCTTCTGACTGCACCAAACGACTTTTCAAAGCTCCACTTGTTGAGAATTGTGAATATTTCTTCCGTGTGAGTGCAGAGAATAAAATTGGAGCTGGTCCACTAACAGAAACAAAAGCACCAGTCCTTGCTGTTGATCCAGTTGAGAAACCTGGTGAGCCAGAGAACTTCCAAATCGCTGAAATCGGCAAGACATTTGTCTTTCTCAAGTGGAAGAAACCAGAATACGATGGTGGTAGTCGTAACCTTGCTTACCATATTGAAAAGAAGCCTAAAGAAGCAGATGAATGGGAACGATTACACAAAGGTGCTATAAAGGAAACCTATTTCATGGCTGACAGATGCATTGAGAACCAAATTTATCAATTTAGAGTTCAAACAAAGAATGAGGGAGGAGAGAGTAACTGGGTGACAACAGCTGAAGTTCTTGTAAAGGAGGAACTTGTACAGCCAGAGCTCAAAGTCAAACTGGTGGGTGTTCTTGTTGTTAAAGCTGGAGATGCCGTTCCAATTGAGGCAGAGCTTATAGGTAAACCACAGCCTGATGTAAAATGGTCTAAAGAAGGTGACACTGCAGATATCACCAAAAGCCCAAGGGTACAAGTTGAAACTGGCACTAACTTCACAAAATTCCTGCTCACAAATTCAAGACGTGGAGATACTGGAAAATACATAATTACTGCAACAAATACTGCTGGAACCTGCTCTGCTAAGGCCAAGGTGAATGTTCTTGACAGACCAGGTCCTATTAGAGACCTGAAAGTGTCAGACATTTCTGTGGACAGATGTAAGCTTACATGGGAGATACCAGAAGATGATGGTGGTTGTGAGATCTATAATTACATCATAGAAAAATGTGAGACAAAGAGAGGGGTATGGTCAGTTCATTCAGCAGCTATTATTACCAATTCAGCTAAAGTTACTCGCCTTATCGAAGGAAATGAATACATCTTCCGTGTGAGAGCTGAGAACAAGATGGGTGCTGGCCCTGCTGTTGAAACTGAGTCCATTGTTGCAAGAACCCAATTCAGCAGACCAGGTGCACCTGATGCACCAGAGGTTACCAAAATTACAAAAGATGAAATGGTTGTTATGTGGTGCTCTCCTGATAATGATGGCGGAAAACCTATAACTGGTTATATTCTTGAGAAAAAAGAAGAGCATGCCATTCGGTGGGCCCCTGTTGTTAAGTCCCCAATTGCAGGGACACAGATGACTGTTACAGGTTTACTGCCTAATCATGAATACCAGTTCCGTGTCAGGGCTGAAAATGAAATTGGAGTTGGAGATGCAAGCAAGCCATCCAGATCATTAACTGCAAGAGATCCAGTTGGTATGTCCAGTTACAGTAAAATAATTGATAAAATGTTTGTTTGTTTTTTGTTTGTATTTACAGCAAAATTTATTTTTCAATTTGCAGAGCCTCCTGGTCCTGTTAGTAACTTAAAGGTGGCTGACAGCTCAAAGACATCAATTACTCTGGCATGGACAAAGCCTACATATGATGGAGGTGCTCCTCTTATTGGATACGTCATCGAGCTAAGAGTCAAGGGAACAGGCAAGAAGGGAGATGAAGGCTGGAAAAGGTGCAATGTTGCTGCCCAGTTGATCGGAACAGAATTTACAGTCTCAAGCCTGAATGAGAAGCTTGAATATGAATTCCGTGTTTCTGCACAAAATCAGGTTGGCTTGAGTCAGCCAACTAATCTTGGGGAAGCTGTGACACCAAGAGAAGTCTTGGGTGAGTTTCCATAGACTACTTTTAAACTTTATCAGCAACATTCCTTCCTAATTCCTTGTTTTTTATCAAAAAATTTTTTCACAAACTACAGAGGCCCCTGAGATTGATTTGAATGCAGAACTGAAGAAAGGTGTGACTGTTAGAGCTGGCTGCCCAATTAGATTAGTTGCCACAGTCAGAGGCAGACCCGCTCCCAAGGTCTTATGGAGGAGAATGGGAAAAGATAATGTTGTTCAGAAGGGCCATGTTGATCTCATTGACACTATGACATTCCTTGTTATCTCTGATTCTACTCGTGATGATTCAGGCAAATATTCATTGACTGTATCCAGTCCAGCTGGAGAGAAGGCAGTGTTTGTGAATGTCAACGTACTTGGTAAGTAAAAAAAAAAAAAAAACAAGCTCCCATTTTTTCATCTGTTTCAGTCACATGATTTTTTTCTGCTTATCTGCCATATTTTTAAATATGTCAAATGAATGGAAAAAAATCACACGGCTGAAACAAATGAAAATATATTAATGTATGAAAATACATAAATTATCTAACTTTTTAATCAAATATATATAAATGTATATTTTTATTTTCAAAACAGATACACCTGGACCTGTTGTTGGTCTTGAGGTTGCTGACATCACAATGTCATCTTGCAACCTCACATGGTCTCCACCTGAAAATGATGGTGGCAGTAATATCACTCATTACATTGTTGAAAAACGAGAAATTGATCGCAAGACTTGGGCAACAGTGAAAGCTAATGTTGATAACACCACATTTAAAGTTACCAATCTCGCCCCAGGAACAGAGTATTACTTCAGGGTCGTTGCTGTAAATGAGTATGGTCCTGGGGTCCCAAGGGTTACAGCAAAATCCTATCTGGCCTCTGATCCTATCAGTAAGTGTATTCTTAGTCAGAGCAATTTTAAAGGCTTTTAGAATTCTTGTTAAAAGGGTATTACTATAACAATTGTGTCTTTTTCCCTCAAGGCAAGCCTGACCCACCACAAAAGGTTGATGTTCTAGAGATTACTAAGAACAGTGCAACTGTGGGATGGGTGAAACCAATGCGTGATGGTGGGGCTAAAATTGATGGCTACATTATTGATTATCTTGAGCTTCCAATGCCTAAACCTCTCAAGATACCAGTGTCGGCTGAAGGTGAGGTTGAGCCTGGTGTAGAGCCGGTGGCTCCACCCCCGCCTGAACCTGTGGTGGAGGAAGAGAAGGAGGAGAAAAAGGAGGAATGGACGCCGTACACAGTCGTAAAAGATTTAAGCATCTCTGTTGCTGGATTAAAGGAGGGAAGAAAATATCGCTTCAGAGTGGCAGCAAAAAATGCCATGGGATCCAGTCTTCCCACAGAGACCAGAGAAGCTTATGAGATCAAGGAGCAGATGTGTAAGTTATTAAATCATATATTACTCAAAAATATTTTGAACTACACTTCCAGTAAAAACCTGTTCAATCTTGTTATTTCTTCCCAGTGGAGCCCAAAATCATCATGCCTGAGCTTGTCACTGCAAAGGCAGGAGCAAAACTGAGGGTTGAGGCTCTTGTATCTGGAAAGCCAGCACCAGCATGCCAATGGAAACGGGGAGAAAATAATGTAGTCCCATCAAGCCGTCTTGCTGTGCACAAATCTCAGAACATGTGTGTGCTCATCATTAAGGATGTTTCAAGACAAGACAGTGGTGAATACAGCCTTGTTGCTGAGAACAGCACTGGAAAAGTTGACCAGACTTTGAAAATCATCATCAGAGGTTAGAACTTGTCATTTTCACCATGACGACCTTCAGTAATAATGCATGTGAACATGCAGTTAATTTTTCAACAAACATTCTTATGTCTCAGATATTCCTGGACCACCTGAGCCACCATTTGAGATCAGTGACATAGATTCTGATGCCTGCACACTCTCTTGGAACAAACCAACTGAAGATGGTGGTAGCAATATCACTAATTATGTGGTTGAGAAGTGTGATGTAAGCAGAGGTGACTGGGTTACTGCTCTTTCCAGCTGTGGCAAAGCTGGTTGCAGAATCGGAAAGCTTATTCCTGGAAAGGAATATGTTTTCCGTGTTCGTGCTGAGAACAGATTTGGTATTTCAGACCCCCTTACATCTGAAAGGATGGTTGCTAAATTCCCCTTCGGTGAGTTGAAACGCAAGCATCAGCATCATCTGTCAACATGCAATGGATGATAAAAATGGTGTGGCCTGTTCGTTAGTGTTTAACAATTTAATCTTTTTTAGATGTTCCTGGTGAACCTTTGAACTGCCGCATCAACAAGGTGAACAAGGACTGCATGTTTGTGGCATGGGATAAGCCTGAGTCTGATGGTGGCAGTCCAGTTACTGGATACTACATTGAACGCAAAGAGAGGAACAGTCTCCTTTGGGTTAAGGCTAATGATTCTGTTGTTCGCACAACTGAATATCCTTGTGCTGGCCTAATTGAGGGTCTGGAATACACTTTCAGAGTGTCTGCTATAAACCGAGCTGGTCAGGGAAAACCAAGCAAGAAAACTGAGTTTATCACAGCAAGAACGCCTGTTGGTATGTGCATCTAAAATTAAATGAATTCTTAGATATAAATGTCTGCATATTAGATGATTATGTTCCATGTTTTTCTGTTGTTTTATATTTTTTTTATTGTAGATGCTCCTGGAAAACCAGAGGTACTTGACATGACTAAGAACTCAGTTACATTGGTTTGGACCAAACCAAAGAATGATGGTGGAAGCAAGATAATTGGATACTATGTTGAAATGATGAGGCTTCCAGGAGACACTTGGGTGCGTTGCAATACAAGTAGTCAAAATGTGCCTCGTGAGGAGTACACTGCAACTGGGTTAGAAGAGGGTGCTAAGTACCAGTTTAGGGTAATTGCCAAGACAGCAGTTAACATTAGCAGGCCGTCTGAAATCACTGACCCGATTCTGGTGTCTGCAGAAAATGGTACGCACTTTTATGTTTTGTAAATGTCTTTTAAAATGTTTTCTAAATGGCTGTCAATTGCTATTTGTCTTACTGATTTTCTCTCATGTTTGCTTATCTATAGTACCGCCAAGAATAGAGCTTTCAATACAGATGAAAAAGATGTTGCCAGTAAAGGCTGGATCAGATGTTTGCCTTGAAGCTGAAGTTTTTGGCAAACCAATGCCCAAGGTTACATGGAGCAAGAATGGAGAAGTGTTGAAAGCTGACAAAGAATTCAAGATGTCTCAAAAGAGACACCTCTTTTCTCTGAGCCTTGATGCAGTTACTAAACTTCATATGGGAAGTTATGGAATTCTTGCAGTAAATGCTAGTGGTTCTACAACTGCAGAAATGCAACTCAAAGTTTTAGGTGAGCAAAATTATAATTGTATTCCTTAGCTAAATTGTCACTAAGATGAGATATAGCATATTTGTGTCTCCTTTTGGCAAAATAATAATCATATATTCCCCTTACACAGATATACCTGGCCCACCAGCCTCTATGAAGTTTGATGAGGTACTTTCAGAGCAGATCAAGTTGAGCTGGGAGGCTCCACTTGCAGATGGTGGTTCTCCAATTACAAATTATGTTGTTGATAAACGTGAGACAAGCAGGGCTAACTGGGCCCAAGTTTCTGCTAAAATCAGTGGTGATACAAAAGAATGTTTAGTGGAGAGACTGATTGAGGGGCATGAATATCAGTTCCGCGTTCGTGCCGAGAACCGCTATGGTACTGGTGATGGCATCATATCGGACCCTGTTGTTGCAAGGAATCCCTTCAGTAAGACCTTGCTATTGGTCTATGTATTTTATTTCTTGGATATACTGTAAATACTGTAAAGCTGCTTTGAGACAATCTGCATTGTAAAAAGCGGTATATAAATAATGGTGACTTGATATATAATTTCTGTGTTGTAATGTACTGTGTTGTAATGTGCTTGTCATTTATAGCTGTTCCTGGAGCATGTGACCCACCGGTCCTTACAAACATCACAAAGGAGCGTATGACTGTAAGCTGGAAGGAACCATCTGATGATGGAAAGTCCCCTATTCTTGGATATATAGTTGAGAAACGTGAGACCAAGGAAATTAACTGGACTAAACTGAACAGAAAACCCTTGCTGGAGAGAACACTTGAGGTTGGAGGTCTCTCTGAGGGAGCTCAGTATGAGTTTAGAGTCACTGCTGTTAATAAAGCTGGCCTTGGCAAACCCAGTGAACCATCTAATGCCACCTCTGCTCTTGATCCTTTGTGTGAGTATCAGAAGCTGTTTACAGTACAATATCTTGTTTATCTAGGAATATGTGCAAGCATATATGAATACCTCTTAATATTTATTTACAGATCCTCCAGGCCCACCCATTTCTCCCAAAGTTATAGACACGACCAGCAGCACAATTAGACTAACTTGGACTAAGCCTGCAAATGATGGTGGTAGTGAAATTTTGGGATACCTTGTCGAAAGCAAGAGAACTAATACAACAGACTGGATAAGATGCAACGTACCCAAGAACCTTCAGGATACAAATTATGTTGTGACTGGACTCTTGGAGAACTCAGAATACCAACTCCGTGTTACTGCTGTAAATAAAGTTGGATTCAGCCAGCCTTGTGAATTTCCTGAAAAACATGTTGCCAAGGATGTTTTTGGTAAAAAATAATTTAATAACTTTTAAATAATTAATTACATATTTTGTTAAATCTCCTTTAATTCTGATCATAAAATACATAATTAAAATATTGTGTAACTAATGCCTGCAATATATAAATGTATTTTTTCTGTTATTCTAGCTGCTCCTGAGGCTGAGCTTGATGCAGAGCTGAAGGACACTGTGGTGCTCACGGCTGGCAGTAAAATGAAACTTCATGCCACAATCAAGGGTCGACCAATCCCCAGGGTGACCTGGGCCAAGATGAACACCAACATTAAGGACAGACATGGAATCATAATCAAAACAACAGACACTGATACATTGGTTTATGTTGATAAAGTCAATAGATATGATGCAGGCAAATACATTCTGAATCTTGACAGTGTAAGCGGAATGAAGATGTACACCGTTATTGTCAAGGTCCTTGGTGAGTCCTAAGAGGTCTTTTATATTTTTTTATATGTATATATATATATACTGTATATATATATATATATATATAGTTTATAGTTTAATATTTATATACTATAGTTTATAGTATTAATATTTTATATTAGCTAAAGTAATTATATCTCTTTTAACACTAAACAGATACTCCTGGACCTCCACTGAATCTGATGGTAAAAGAGACATCAAAGGACAGTGCCTCCATCCTATGGGATGCACCTCTAATTGATGGTGGAAGTGAGATTACAGGTTACATTGTTGACAAAAGAGATGCAGAAAGGAAAGCATGGTCAAATGTTTCAACCACTTGCACTCAAACATCTTTCAAGATTGATGGTTTAGAGGCCGGAAGATCTTATTGTTTCAGGGTTCTGGCTCAAAATCAGTTTGGCATTGGTGAGCCATGTGAAACTGTGGATGCTGTTAGAGCTTCTGGTGAGTGAAGATCATTTTTGATTATGTAATCTTCAACTGCAGAAATAATTTCAATGTATATTTTATAATAACACTGCTAATATTTATTATTGAATAAACTATATTCCAGAACAACCTGGACCAGTTATGGACTTCAAGACCTTGCTGGTAACCAAGGACTCTTGTACACTTTCCTGGAAAAAGCCCATCAGTGATGGAGGAAGCCGCATCATTGCATATGTGCTAGAGGTCCTTAATGGCGAAGACAAATGGAAGGAGCTTCTTAGATCAAAGAACATGCAATATAGTGCAAAGGACATTACTGAAGGAAGGGAATACAAATACAGAGTTAAAGCAACAAATGATTCTGGTGATGGTCCTGTGAAAGAACTCTCTGTGATTGCTAAAGATGTCAATGGTGAGATTTCTTGCATTTGTATAAAAATGCCCTTGAGCTCTCTCTGGTATATTGTGTTTTAAATCTGCTCCTTGTTAATTATTTTTCTGTATTATTATAGTTTCTCCAAGCTGTGACTTGCGAGAGTTGCCCAACTTGAACTATATCGCAAAAGAAGGAAGCACCGTTCGTCTCAAGATTCCTATTAGTGGAAAGCCTGTCCCTGTTGTCACATGGAAGAAGGGAGAGGATGAAAATCTCACAGACACAGGAAGAGTGTGTGTAGAATCAACGGCAGTAAACACAACTCTTATGATACGTGACTGCCAAAGGACAGATGCCTCAAAATACACCATCACTCTTCGCAATGCTGCTGGAACAAAAGAGTCCACAATTTTTGTCAGAGTTGTTGGCAAACCAGGAATTCCAACTGCACCAGTAAAGTTCAAGGAAGTGACTGCAGATGGTGCAACCTTAAAATGGGGTGTTCCTAAAGATGATGGTGGATCAGAAATTACCAACTACATACTTGAGAAACGTGATTCCATTACTAACATGTGGGTTACTGTGTCTTCATCTGTGGACACAAACACTTTCAGAGTGACTGGTCTCCATGAGGGAACTGAGTACATCTTTAGGGTTAGTGCAGAAAACAAATATGGAATTGGTGAGGGCCTCAAATCAGAGCCTATGGTTGCCAAGCATCCATTCAGTGAGTGGATTTTTAATAATTGTCAATATAGTTTAGATACTATAGGCAATATCTAAGTGTGAAAATCTCACTTTCTTACTCATGATTACGTCATCAGATGTTCCAGATTCACCTCCACCCCCTCAAGTTATGAGTATGTATCATGATTCAGCAACACTTGCATGGTTTGATCCAAGGAAAACCGGAGGCTCACCAATCACAGGTACAGAAATAATTATATATACGACAATAACCTTTTCATCAAGACATTCTGATTTTGCTTTTTTCATTGAAATATAGTTAGGAGTGAAACAATACCACAACAATTGGATATATCAACAGTATTTTTATTTAATTATTTTATACTTCATTTTTTATTATTGTTATTATTATTATTTTTTTGTTACAGGTTATCATGTTGAATTCAAGGAAAGAAACAGCATGTTATGGAAAAGAGCAAACCCAAGTGCTTTGAAGATGAGAGATTTCAAAGTGACAGGCTTAACAGAGGGTCTAGAATATGAGTTCAGAGTTATGGCTATTAATCTGGCTGGTGTTGGTAGACCAAGTCCTGCCACTGAGCCAATGGTTGCCTTGGATGCAATTGGTAAGTAAAGCTTATTTCAAATGCTTGAGTCGTATATAATCCCCCATTATACACCCTACTTTGAGTAAGGTTAATTTTTAATGAATGAACATTGTTCATTATAGATGCACCTGGCAAACCTGATGTGATTAGCATCACTAGAAGCACTGTAACACTTCAGTGGACTGAGCCTCAATACGATGGTGGACACAGGCTTACAGGCTACATTGTTGAGAGACGTGATCTCCCAGCAAAGGTCTGGGTAAAGGCTAATACAATAAATGTTGTGGACTGTGCATATACTGTAGCAGACTTGCAAGAGGGTTGCAAGTATGAATTTAGAATCAGAGCAAAGAATGCAGCTGGAGCAATAAGTCCACCCTCTGAACAAACTGATACCCTTGTGTGCATGGATGAATATGGTAAGACTAAATTACACTTTCTATTTCATACATCTTAAGTAAATGTAGTACCATGTCATCTAACCTAGGAAATTGTTGTGCTGATTAGTTTGTTATTATTTTGCAGCGGCACCAACCATTATAATTGATCCAACAGTCAAGGAGGGGCTAACTGTCAGGGCTGGAGATACTATTGTAATTACTGCAACAAGCATTCTGGGCAAACCTCAGCCAACCTCTGTGTGGTCAAAGGGTGGAAAGTATTTCAAGCCATCAGATGTGTGCCAAATAGAAACTACGCCTTCTTCTTCTACTCTTTCTATCAAATATGCAAGTAGGAAGGATTCAGGAGAGTACACAATTACAGCAAGTAACCCATTTGGTGTGAAAGAAGAAATTGTGAAAGTAACAATTTTAGATGTTCCCGGTCCACCAGGGCCAATTGAAGCTAGTGGAATTTCATCTGAAAAGGTCACTTTGACATGGACACCACCTCATGAGGATGGGGGATCTCCAATTAAATACTATACTTTGGAGAAAAGAGAAACAAGCCGTCTCCTTTGGACCATTCTTGCTGAAAAGGTTATTGACTGCCACTTTGTTGCCAATAAGCTTATCCAGGGAAATGAGTACATCTTCAGAGTTTCTGCTGTCAACAGTTCTGCAGCTGGTGATGCTTCCCATTCTGAACCAGTGAAAATGGTGGATAGCTATGGTATGTTTAAAAAAAAAAACTCACTCTCTCATATTATTTACATACTGTTCTTTTGTGTGATGCTGCATAGCTGGATATGTATATGCAATAAGATTCTCAAGAGACATATTACTTATTTCAGGTCCCCCTGGTCCGCCAGCTAAACCAGAAGTTGAAAATGTTGGAGGAAATTCTGTTACCATTGCTTGGAAAAGACCAGCTGATGATGGTGGAAGTGATATAATGGGCTATATGGTTGAAAGGAAAGAAAAGGAGGGCATGAGATGGACCCGAGCATCAAAGAAAACAATTGCTGAACTCCACTTTGAAGTGAAAGGGCTAAAAGAGGGAGTTGAATATGAATTCAGAGTAACTGCTGAGAATAAGGCTGGTTTTGGTGAGCCAAGTGAACCTTCAATGCCAGTGAGGACAAAGCTTGTTGCAGGTAAGTAAAGTGATTATTTAATATTTGATATGATAGCAAAGATGGTACTAACATATATGCTATCAATTTTCAGATGTACCTAGTCCTCCAGTCAACCCAAGAGTCACTGACACAACAAAAACCACAGCTGAATTGCACTGGGGCAAACCACTTAGTGATGGTGGCATGGAAGTCACAGGATACCTTGTTGAGCACAAAAAGGAGGGAGAAGAAGAATGGGTGAAAGATACAGCTACGCCGTTGAGGATCACTGAGTTTGTTGTCCCCAATTTGCAAGCTGGAACAAAGTATAATTTCAGAATTTGTGCAATGAATGCAATGGGTGTTAGTGAACCAGCACAAACAAAGGATCTTGTTGAAATTGTGGAACGTGAAGAAATCCCTGATTTAGAACTAGATATAGAACTCAGAAGAACGTTAGTTGTTAGGGCAGGTGCCTCTATTCGTATATTTATTCCTATTAAAGGACGCCCAACCCCTACAGTGACTTGGACAAAAGAGGACTCACCATTGAAAACTCGTGCAATCATCGACAATACTGAATCCTATACCCTGTTGGTCATTCCCGACTGTAATAGACGCGATGCAGGGAAATATGATTTAACATTAGAGAATGCTGCTGGAAAGAAGACTGCTTCTGTGGTTGTAAGGGTTTTGGACTCCCCTGGTCCTCCTCTTAATTTGAAACCCAAAGCAATTGACAAAGAGAGTATCACATTGGAATGGGAAATGCCTCTTATTGATGGAGGTGCTAAAATTACTAATTACATCATTGAGAAGAGAGAGTCTACTCGCAAGGCATATGCTGCTGTGATCACACAATGTGATACATGCTCCATCAGAGTTCCTGATCTGGCAGAGGGTTTGGAATATTATTTCAGAGTTTATGCTGAAAATGAGTATGGCATTGGTGAAGCAGTTGAAACCCCAGACCCAATCAGAGTATCTCAAGCACCAACTCCACCAGAAAATGTCACTTTTACTGATGTCACGAAGAACTCAGTTAGTCTTGTATGGACTAAACCAAAACATGATGGTGGAAGTAGGGTTACTGGGTATGTAATTGAAGCACAAAGGAAAGGAACAGACCAGTGGGCCCATGTGACAACTGTGAAAACTTTGGACTTTACTGTAAAAAATCTTAATGAAAATGAAGAGTACATATTCCGTGTAATGGCAGTGAACAGTTCTGGGCGAAGTCGTCCTCGTGTAAGCAAGCCTGTAGTTATCAAAGAACAAAGTTCAGAACCAGAATTTGATCTCCGTGGTGTGTGTCAGAAGACAGTTATTGCCAAGGCTGGCAATGATATAAAGGTTGAGGTGCCCGTTTCTGGACGTCCTAAGCCTACACTTTCTTGGCAGAAAGACAATCAAGCCCTCAAATTAACACAAAGGACAATGATTGAAAATACCTCTACCTCAACTATCTTGATCATAAATGAATGTTTAAGGAGTGACTGTGGAATATACTCAATGACAGGAAAGAACATCGTTGGCTCGGTTACAGATAGCATCACAGTAAAAGTGCATGATGTGCCTGGACCACCAAAGGGACCAATTAAACTGGACAAAATATCTCATACTTTTATTGAGTTCTCATGGGAAGCTCCTGAAAATGATGGAGGTGTACCAATCAATAACTATATAGTAGAAATAAGGGAAACTACTAGCCAGACATGGGTAGAACTCTCCTCATTGATTATTCGTACAACATTTAAAGCAACTCGTTTAACAACAGGAACTGAATATCAATTCCGCATCAAGGCTAAAAACAGATATGGGACAGGGCCTCCATTAACATCAGAGGCAGTGGTTGCTGCATATCCATTTAAGGTACCTGGGCCACCTGGAACACCCAAAGTTGTCGCTTTCACTAAAGATACAATGACAATTGGTTGGAATGAGCCTGTTTCTGATGGTGGAAGCGAGGTCATTGGTTACCATGTTGAAAGGAAAGAGAGGAACAGTATTGTTTGGCACAGAATTAGCAAGGCACTTGTGATCGGAAATCTGTTCAAATCCACAGGACTAGAGGATGGTGTGGCATATGAGTTCCGTGTGATTGCTGAAAACATAGCTGGAATTGGAAAACCAAGCAAAGCCTCTGAACCAATGCTTGCTCTTGATCCAGTGGATCCACCTGGTCAACCTGTCCCAATCCATGTGTCCAAAAATGCCATCACTATTCAGTGGACAAAGCCAGAGTATGATGGTGGATTCAAGATTACTGGCTATACTGTGGAAAAGAGAGATCTTCCAGCTGGGCGCTGGATAAGAGCTAACTTTACAAATATAATTGAAACCACTTTCACTATAAGTGGTCTAACACAAGATGAATCTTATGAATTCCGTCTACTTGCAAGAAATTCAGCTGGTGCGGTAAGTAACCCATCAGACCCATCAGATCCAATTATTTGCAAAGATGACATTGAAGAACCAAGGATTATGGTTGATGCTAAATTTAAAGATATTGTCCTTGTCAAAGCCGGAGAGGTGTTCAAACTTGAAGCTGATGTTGCAGGCCAGCCATTACCATCTATGGTTTGGTCGAAAGATGGAAAAGATGTTGAAAACACAACCAAACTACAGATTAAAATGACAGAACTTACAGCAGTCTTGATCAACAAGGATTCTGTCAGAAGGGATGGTGGTGAATTTATTTTGACAGCAACAAATGTTGGTGGCTTTGCTAAGCATGTTTTCAATGTAAAGGTTCTTGATAGACCAGGACCACCTAAGGGACCTCTGACAGTTTCCGATATTACAGCTGAAAAATGTGTGCTAACATGGAATCCACCTGCAGATGATGGCGGTGCAAACATCCAACATTATGTTATTGAAAAACGTGAGTCAAGCAGACTTGCTTGGACAAATGTGGCATCTGAATTGCCGGTTAATCAGTACCAAGTGACAAAGTTGCTCAAAGGAAATGAATACATTTTCAGAGTTATGGCTGTTAACAAGTATGGTGTTGGAGAACCTCTTGAGTCTGAAGCAATAATTGCAGATAATCCATATGTACGACCAGATCCTCCACAAACACCTGAGATAACAGCGGTAACCAAGGATTCAGTAGTCCTCTGTTGGGGTGCACCTGCTAGCAATGGTGGAAGTGAAATCACCAACTATCGTATTGAGAAAAGAGACAGGATTAGTTTGCGTTGGGTAAAATGCAACAAGAGGAATGTTACTGACTTGCAATTCAAGGTTACTGCTCTTGTTCCAGGCCATGAATATGAGTTCAGAGTTTTTGCTGAAAATGCAGCAGGAATAAGTGAACCAAGTCCTTCATCACCATTTGTCAAGGCCACAGATACTCTTTTCAAACCAGGTCCCCCTGGCAACCCAAGAATCCTGGACACAACAAATTCTTCAATCACGCTTGCATGGAACAAACCAGTTTATGATGGTGGTTCTGAAATTACTGGCTATATTCTTGAGACCTGTCTCCCAGGAACTGAAGAGGAAGAATGGACAATTGTCTCCCCTAAAGATGGTGTAAAGGGGACATCATTTACAATTACAAATCTAAAAGAAAATCAGGAATACAAAATTAATGTGTCCGCTGTAAATTGTGAGGGTATTGGAGAAGCAGCACCTGCACCAGGTTCACCTAAAGCAGAGGAACGACTCATACCACCAGAGGCTGACCTTGATGCTGAACTTCGTAAGATTGTGAACATCAGAGCATGCAATACACTAAGACTTTTTGTGCCAATTAGAGGTAGACCAACACCAGAGGCCAAATGGTCAAGAGAGAATGATGAACCTTTAGACAGAGCTACAATTGAAACAACGTCATCTTTTACATCACTGGTTATTGCCAATGTGAATAGATTTGACAGTGGCAAATACAATTTGACTGTAGAAAACAACTCTGGAGCAAAGACAGTCTCTGTAATAGTTAGAGTTCTAGATACACCTGGAGCACCACAAAACCTAAAAATAAGCCAGGTCACTAAAGAATCTGTTTCACTTGTTTGGGATCCTCCACTTAATGATGGCGGCACAAAAATTAAGAATTATATTGTTGAGAAGCGTGAGGCTACAAGAAAGGCATATGCTACAGTAAATGCCAATTGTCACAAAACTACTTACACAGTTGACCAGCTCCAAGAAGGATGCAACTACTATTTCAGAGTTCTGGCAGAAAATGAATATGGCATTGGTCTCCCTATGGAGACTGGTGAATCTGTTAAAGTGTCTGAGAAGCCACTTCCCCCTTGCAAAATTACA